CTAACCCAGCTCGCCCCACCCCCAGCTTGGGAGTTGGATCATCTCGCTGTGACACACCATCCTAGTCAAGCAGCAGCCTTCTCCACAATGAGGTTCAGGTGGCCAAACCGGCTCCTGGTATAACAGGGAGGGGCTGGGACACGGACCGGAGCTGCCAGGGCAAAGCAAGACCTTATCAACCCAACCTGATGCAATGCTCGGTGGTGGCAGCCCTGGGTGGGAGGGCTGGACGGCGTCCATGAACAATCTTTATGAACCCCAGAAGCTGGGCAACCTTGGCTCAGTCCTCACGCTGCTCCCACACCCTGGTCACAGACGTCTCGCCCCTCTTCAGCCTCCTCTGATTTTATGATGGCAGCTTCCCCTTTGCAGAGCTACCTGAGGGAACGGTGCTTGGAGAACACTCCCTTAGCCCAGGTGGCCACGCAGCAGTGGATGTCACAGAGTTGGTGCTCCTGGAGGGGACGAGTTAGAGAATGACTGAGGCGGGTGGAGCACCTCCCAAAAGGTTTTCTGGAGGACACAAGTTATGTGTAATGGATCCTTACTAATTAACAGTGACTGAAAAAGCTCATTAGCCACCATTCCGTCCGCATAGGGTCAACTCCAGGAGTGAAGAATCAGACAAGAGAACTGATGTTGTATCATCAGCTATGATTTGACATGCGGTGGGGGGACCCCGCGTCAGTTTGGGCCTGGGCGATCTAGAGCATTGGACAATCCAACACCATCTTCTGTTTGGCTATGGAGTCTGGTTCGTGTATTCCCCTTTGACAGTAAATTGCCCTCCCTATGTTTTCCTCTCCACCTAATGGTATTGGTAACAACGTTAGCCGAGTTATTGAGGCTTACTATGTGGCGGGCCTTGTACTAAGTGCTCCAAATATGTGATCTCATTGAAATCTCCCGGTGATTCTGACACAGGTGGGTACTGTAATTACTCACATTCTATAGGCAGGGGAAGCACAGCATGTAGAGGTTAAATAACTCAGCCCAGGTCACACTGCTGGAACGTGACAGGGCCAGCATTAGAACGCCAGGCTTCCAGAGCCTGAACCTGTATTGCTCCTCTCTGTGCTGGAGGGGCTATGCTGCAGCCCATGTAACACCCTGTGTGAATTAGACCCATGTCCTGAGTGGGGGACAGACTGTATTGAACCCCCACAGGTCCCCTTTATCACTGTCCATGGTGGTACATAGCCTGCACAGTCCTAGGTGGCAGCCTCAAGCATCTGTGCATTAATTTAAATGAATCAAACAGCACGCTCTTGACAAAATGAAAACAAAGAACTAAGAGGTTCGTCGCATCAGCCTCCAGATGAAGCTGCGATTGCCTCAGTTCCCAGATGCCTTCAGTAGTACAATCATCTTGCCATGCCAAGTATGTGTTTTCAGATAGGGTTTCGGTTCTGGCTCTCGTGTTGAGCATTCTGGTGTTTAAAGACAGGGACTTTTTGCACCATGCCTCTAAACACAGGCCAACTACTTTGTGTGCTCAACCCAAGAAATTCTGTTCCTATGCCTGACAAAGAGCTGGCTCTGCTGGACTCAGGATTTGTTTCCACTTGGCACCTTCCTGGTAGATTTTCCGAGGGTAGTTTTGTTTAGTTTTTGTTTTTGAGACGTAGTCTTGCTCTTTCACCCAGGTCGGAGTGCAATGGCATGATCTCGGTTCACTGCAACCTCCACCTCCCAGGTTCAAGCGATGCTCCTGCCTCAGCCTCCCAAGTAGCTGGGATTGCAGGCATGCACCACCATACCCAGCTAATTTTTGTACTTTTAGTAGAGATGGGGTTTCACCATGTTGGTCTCGAACTCCTGACCTCAAGTGATCTGCCCACCGGGGCCTCCCAAAGTGCTGGAATGACAGGCATGAGCCACAGCACCTGGCTGGTTCCATCTTGATGTGATTTTTGCGGTAAGTGCCAGCTCTGGAAGCCAGCGTCTCTTTCCGAACTCCCCCCTTTTCCTCCCTCCACACTGCCTCAGTGGTTTGTGTTCGCTAAGTTGGGTTGGGTGGGGGGGGCGGGGAAGAGAGGAGCAGGGGGTTCTCCCTGGGAGAGGATCCCAGCAGTTCACGTGATGAGCGGCGGGAATATCTGCCCGATATGCAGCTCGGCTTTGGTTGAATCACGGAGGGTTAATGGAATCAGGCAGCCGCAGAGACTGGCTCTGCAACATCACCTCTCCGGGCAGCTTGACTGCCTAGTTCCCTCGCTGGGAAAAGCAGTAAACCCCTGTTTTCCCACAGGCCTGCCCCCACCCCACCCCAAATCTGCCAGAACTTGAGTGTGGGTAAGAGGCAAGGCCCAGCCCCGATTGCTCCACTGTGAGACACACCTAGGGCCTGGCAGCCAGCCTCCTGGGTCTAGGGAGGGAGTGAAGAGTCTAAGGGATAGACACTGAGTTTTGGGGGCCTTGGTGAATACTTAGGTGGAAATCCGGGAATCCTGGGAAAGAAAGGGGGCTGGGGTGTGGAGTATTAGCAGGCAGAACTTGAGGCATCCCTGTCCCATCCCTCCTCCCTCCGTCAGTGCTGTCACACCCAGGAAAGCAGCCTCATCCACCAGCCGGTCTGGTTTCTTCCTTTGCCGCCCACCCTATGTGCCCTGTGCTTAAACCCTCTCCCAGGAAGTCTTCCTGGATTGGTCCCACTTAATTCCAGTCCCTCTCTCCATTCGCTCATTTGTAAACATTTATTTGGCTCTTAGTGCTGGGGACTATAGATGGACAAAATACCTGCCCTAGGGAGCCCATGTCCCGGTGAAGGAGATATCATAATCTAACAAAAAATAGATCCAAAAACAGGATGACTTCAGAGAACAGGTGCTGTGAAGAAAGCAGGGCGCTGTGATGCTGCCAGGTTTCCTCGGTTGATGGCCTGGGGGCGGGCGGCGGAGGCTCACACCTGTAGTCCCAGCACTTTAGGAGGCCGAGGCAGGAGGATCACTCGAGCCCAAGAGTTCAAGATCAGCCTGGGCAATATGAGAAGACCCCGTCTCTATTAAAATAAAAATTTGAAAAGGTGGCCCAGGGAGGGACATTTGAAATGAGCCCTAAAAGCAGATGAAGCTCTGGCTTTCTGGAGACGTTGGTAACAGCCGCCCGCGTTCCCTGAGACCCTGTACCAGCAGGCCCAGAGCCGCCTTAGAGAGGGAGGCCAGGCCCAGATCGCATAGAGCCGCGGTGAGCAATTGGGATTTTCTTCCAGGGCTAGTGAGAAGCTGGCAGTAGGTCCCAAGCAGGGGCTCCTTTCTGGCCGTTGTAGAGGAATGGGACCTAAGGAGTAAGACAGAAGTGTCACTCTAAGCTTTCCAGGGCTGTTTTAGCCCTTTGGGCCAAGAACACCCCAAGAGCCAAGAACCGTGTTGCTCACCTCCGTGTCTCCCCCAGTGCTTCAGGGACTGGGCTGAGGTGACCTCAGTTCTCTGAGGGTTCCCACCCCCACTCACGCTCCAGGAAGCGACCTGTGCAGCGAGGATTGAGCGTCCTCCCTAGGACAGCCCGGAGCTCGCCTTCCTGTGGCCTCCAGGAGATACTGCAAGGAGCTCCTGAACCCCGGAGGGCTAGTACAAACCAGCACCCGGATTTCAGGGCCCCAGAGACACGAGAAGCCCAGCAGAGGAGCGGCCTAGCCTTCTCCCAGGCAGATGGGCTGGGTCGGCTAGGTCTCCTCAAGTCAGTGTTGGACCAGGTTTCTTTCATGCATTCATCTACCATCTGAGGCCCTGTGCCTGTCCTGGGGGTGGAGAGTGACCTAGGCAGACAGGGGCCATGCCTTCAGGGAACCCAAGCCTGGGAGGGAGTCACTTAGGCTGGCAGGGTGACTGGTATCCACCTTTTACTTCCTGTCCCCCAGCAGCGATGCCAGGGGAACAAAGGAGTGGGGGTTCCTTAATCCTGGTATGTTGGTCTAGCTTGGTGGGATTTAGGGGCTCCAACTACAGACCCCCAGCCCCGTCCCAAGGGCTCCTCAGCATGGGATAAGCCTGGCTCAGCCTGCACTGCAGCCTCTCCTGTTTCATTGGTACAGCGATGGGGTGGAAGGGCTTTGCCTCCCTCCCTCTGCATCTTAAAAACACAGGGCAGTGCCTAAGACCCCAGGTTTGATCCAATTCTCCCAACTTCCTAAGTGCGTCTCCCCAGCTGCACCGCCATCCCCACCGCAGCATGTCCATATGGTGAGGGGCAGTCGCTACAGCACCTCGCTCCGGTTTCTTGCCCCCTCCCTGACCTTCTGGGACTGACCTCCCGCTTTGAATAACATCGTTCCTCCTGCCTCCTGACTTGAACAGTTCCACTGTCGCCTTATCAGGCCACCAAAACACCTGTGACTACTTCAAATGCAAAAAGAATTGTATTGCCAGGCTCGGTGGCTCACGCCTGTAATCCTAGCACTTTGGGAGGCCGAGATGGGTGGATCACCTGAGGTCAGGAGTTCAAGACCAGCCTGGCCAACATGGTGAAACCCCATCTTTAAAAATAAAATAAAATAATCGTATTCAAGCTGGGCACAGGGGCTCACACCTGTAATCCCAACAACTTTGGGAAGCTGAGGTGGGTGGATCACCTGAGGTCAGGAGCTCGAGAACACACTGGCCAACATGGTGAAACCCCTTCGTACTAAAGATACAAAAATTAGCCAGGCATGGTGGTGCACATGTGTAATCCTAGCTACTCATGAGGCTGAGGCAGGAGAATTGCTTGAACCCAGGAGGCGGAGGTTGCAGTGAGCCAAGATTGTGCCACTGCACTCCACCCTGGGTGACAGAGTGAGACTCAGTTTCAAAAAAAAAAAAAATGGTATTCAGATGTAGGTTGGGCAAGGCTTTTTTTCTACAGATGAGGAAACTGAGGCACAGTGCGGGCTGCTTGGCCTGGCCTGCTGTGCTTTATCTCAGTTTCAGGCAGAAGGCAGATTAGCTGCCCCTGAATTGCTCTTCCAGCCTCCCTGACCCATCAACGTAACCATTAAAGAATAAAATTTGAGAAAGTCATAAGGAAACAAGATTCATGTTTTATTTCCACAGAGAAACTCAAAAGTCGGAAGCTCCTCCTTCCTGGAAACCTGTCACAGTGCCTTCAGGTCACAAAATGGAGCAAGTAGAGAAAGCGGCTGGTGTAGCTGACGAGGCTGGCAGTCACTGAAGCACCACCGTGCAATGGTAGGAAACAGGAGAGACAAGCCGGGTCCCCAGCCTGGGAAAGGGGGGTGTGCAGCAGCCGAGCCAGGGCTGGCACAGGCTGGGGGCCAAGGGGAGGAGTTCCCTGATGACCAGTGCTTTTCAGGGCCTTGGTAGTGGTTGGAAGAAATTGTCTAGAAGAAAGAAAATCAGATGGTAGCAAGTGGCCACTCCTAAGGCTGCGGAAATGGGGCATCTTTTCACCCAGCATCTGGGCGCCCACCATTCTTTTGCTGTCTTACCTGTTCACCTGTGGTGCCCCTCACTTTTGCTCCACCTAAAACAAAGCTTGTGGTTCTGCCGAGCTAAGCTGTCACCTCTCGCCCAGGCAGCCTCACTGCATCTGGGCTCTGAACCTTTCCACCAGGAGGCGCCTCTCTCTAAGATTCCCCCGTAACACCTCTATCCCGGTCTAGAACACCAGCTTCTCCCACTCAGAGCTGTGCCTATGTGACCCCAGCTTAGGGTGATATCTGAGGGTCATGTCCTTTCTTTCTTCCTTCCTTTCCTTCCTTCCTTTGTCACTTTCTTTCCTTCTTTTTTCCCTTCTTTTCTTTCTTTCTTCCTTTGTTTCTTTCTCTCTTTTCTTTCTTTCCTTCCTTTCTTTTCTTTCTTTTCCTTCCTTCCTTCCTTTTTCTTTCTTTCTCTCTTTTCTTCTGTCCTTTCTTTCCTTTCTTTCTTTCTTGACAGG